TATAGCCTGGCGCAATGCTACTGCTTTCAGCTTGGAATACCGATCTATTAAGTCCAAGGTATCCTTTCCATGTTTCTAAGACTTTATCATGATAATGAGAAATAAAAGCGCAGCCTGCCTCTTCGTTGATTTTTGAGCCATCAGTGAATATGCTGATGGTATTTGCACCGCCTGTGTCTCTTACCCGTAAATCCTGAGACATAGAGGTATGGGCACGAATGCCCAACCCATAACTAGCGGGATGAACTTTGAGCTGAGAATTTTTGTTCTCAAAGTCTGATGGTACAAATGTAGTTCCCTAAATGAGGCTGACTTCCTAAGAAGCATGACAGTAGAGACAGTTGCCTCTTGTAGTGCGGCTATTGGCAGAGGAGTAATTCCAGCTAGAACCGCTGCCGCTGATGTGGCCGTTGTCCTGTATGTTTTCGTGATAGCAAGGACGAAAGGTCGTTGGATGCTATTAAGTAAATTCAATTTTCTCGCAGTCATGGGTAGGGCCCAAATAGCTGCCCCATACAAAACTATTTTTTCTACTACCGTCTTGTAAATAGTCTTGAGGATGTGGGGTCGTAATCCCCAATCTTTGCCCTGCATATTTTTAATTCTAGTCGCTATTCTTGTGGCTTTGACCCTTTGGGCTTGCAAGTGAGGAATCCAAGTGAGGTTTTCATCCAAAATGAGGCCAAGGAGTTTTAACTCCTTGACCCTCTTGACCGTCACTCCTCTTAGCTTGATGCACGGGTTCCTTATGATAGTTTGTTTAGGCTTGTGAAATATAATGTATTTTGATTTATCCTGTGATATTTTTAAAGTGTTTTTCAGTGCAGAGGTTGTCAAAGAGCGAGATAACCTCGTTGCAGTTTTTCTCCAATTCGTCCCTGCTGTGGCCTCGAACGATGAAAGTGGCATCATCTGCAAAGGCTACTGTCTTTGTATGCGACGGCCAACGCGCATTCAGTATGGAGTTAAATGTGAGATTCCAGAGATCTGGTCCAGCGCATGACCCTGTGGACAGCCTCGTATTTGCTTTTTCTTCACTATGCCGCCATTATAGACCACGGTAAAAGTGCGGTCGCTGAGATAGCTTTTAATTACTTGTAGAAGATTATTAGGCACGCTTGCCGCATGTAAAGCTTCAATGATAGCAGGCCACCACAGGGAGTCAAACTCACTCTGTAAGTCAAGGCTGAAGACGGCCGCATGCTGGTTATCTTCTTTGATGTTTTGAACTTCATCTTTAACAATGTCAAGAGCGTTAAGAGTGGAACGGTTCTCCCTGAAGCCAAATTGCGCCTCTGAGATGTGGCCAGACAAAGTTAAATGATGCTTGATCCTGAGTATTGTCAGCTTTTCATAAATTTTGCCTAAAGCCGAAAGAAGACAGATGGGGCGAAAGGAAGAAGGATCTTTTTCTGAAAAGGATTTCTGAAATAGCACTTGTCTTCTTTTTCTGAAGGATTTCTTCTTTTTCTGAAGGATTTCTGAAGGAATCTTCTTTTTCTGAAGGATTTCTGAAATAGCACTTGTCCGATCTTAAAGGACTTAGGAAAATATTGCAGAGAGAAGATCTTATTGAAGTAGGTGACAAGAAATTTCGGATTCGCTTTGTGCACCGCTCTAATGATATCGTAATCTAAAGAATCGGGACCTGGAGCTTTCTTTTTCGGCAGATTTCGCATAATTGCATTTACTTCTGAATCGGTATAAGGTACATCATTTGGAGTGCCTGATATAAGTGAGAACGCCGGATGCAATTGCAAGTCTGATGTGTCATCCTCATCTGATGGAAAAACCGCATCTAGGATTCTTCTTATGGTTGCTTCCATAATACCTGACTCTCCATAGGCATGACCATGAAAAGTGTGATGTAGAGTCGGTTTAAAAACTTTTTCGCTGGCTATTTGGTGCAGAATCCCATAGGTATCTCTATGATCAGTGCAGAATTTTTTCCAGCTTTCAAGTTTGGTTTGGCCCGTAATATGGCCTTTTTATACTTGGCCTGCGCTTTATTATATTCTATGGATAGTAATTGTCTAGCTTCCTGATCTCTTTCTGCTTTCATGCGCCTGCGCATAGCTCTGGTACGGCTACGCTGTGTTCTGAGGTCCCTGGTCCACCAGTTTGCAGCGTGTAGCATTTTGGGGGTTTTCAGCGCAAAGGTGCTGTCACAGATAATTTGGAGGTCACTGATCAAATTATTGGTCAATTCTTCCGCGTCTTTGACTGTTATGGTGTTTGGCAGCTCCATTAATAATCTATTTAGGATTGGACGTGCTTTCCTAGAAAATTGAGTAGTTTTACTTCTGGTAAGCTTATAGCGCTTCATTACTAGCCTTTCATGCTGTTGGTTTATACTGTAGGTAATGTACCTATGATCTGAGTTGGTAATGGAATCCTCAACTGTCCAATTTTTTATCTTTGGGGTCAGGGCTGCAGATGAGAGCGTTAAATCCGGCCACCCTTTGCCATTAACGGTTTCAAACGTAGGCAGGCATTCAGGCTCATTATGAATGGATAGATCATTACTTGCCACAAAGTCTTCTACTGCACGTCCTCTCAGATCCGTATGTGGATATCCCCAGGTTTCAGAATGCGCATTAAAGTCCCCCGCAAGAAGGTGCTGTTCGTTGGGGTAATCAGCCAGAATTCTTTGTTGTAGATCTAGTGATTCAGAAATGTCTGCCGTGGGAGGGATGTAGATGTTAGTAACTAGTATTCTAAGATTTTTTGCCTCAATCGCCATTGTTACTGCATCTCTGGTAGCTTTGATGATAGTGGGTGCCCATTTTTGATTACAGCAAATAGTAGCTACCCTTGGGCCTTCTCCATCATGTGACTGGATGATGGTCCACATTAGAGGGAGGCCAGCTACATTGTTTGCTTGCAGGTACGGCTCCTGAGCAAGAATAAAGTCTACTTCCGTTTTCCATCGCTTGTTGCACCAGCTGGGCCGTTGCGGCTCTGGCTCTTTGTAAATTTATCTGGAGTATCTTAATCTCATCATGCTCGAAGATGTTAGTATTTATTGGCATAAAAGGAAAATTGCTTTCGTGAGTTATGGAAGATGTGGGTTCCTGAGATATACGTTCAAGGATTCTTATCTGATGCTCTGTTGCCTGAGTACGTGTCAGTCTTCTGGATTGCTAAGGAATTGAGCTCTGTGACAACTGTTCGTTTCCCCGTTACTGCCTTAGTACTCTGTAATACTGCGGACGTAACGAATGCTCCGCTGGAATTCAGGGCAGCTTGGATGATATGCTGGGTGCCTGTAGTCGTGATGGGTGCCGTATTTGTGATTGGCCTCTCCACAGTTGATACATTCTGCACTATTGGCCATGCACTCTCTTGTTGCATGATTTCCCCCGCAGTATCCACAGTAATTTCTTTTACTCTGGCAGACTTCCTGGGTGTGGCCATATAGCTGGCACCTGAAACACCGCACGATACCGAGGTATTCTTTAATACCATGCGCTGTCCATCCCGTGTATACTTTTTGTACTCTGAGTGCTGCTGCGAAGCTGACGCAGTCACATTCAATGACCCACTTGACTCGGCCATTCCTCCTTTCCTTGAGGCGGAAAAGGGGCTTATAGGAGCTTCTCGGCATTCTTGTAATTGCACAGAGTTCATCAATGATTTCTTCTGGCTTAGTGCATTCCGCGACATCATGGATGACGCAGCGTGGTTTCCGCCTTGCTGGTTTCTTGATGTCAGCTGAAACTTTGGCTTGCTGAAGTCGCTCTTCAAGTCTGAGAACATCTTCCGCTGTTTTGCAGTGTACCTCTATTCCGCCCCTTCTAGTGGATGTTATTTTATCCACTGCCACACCTAGCTGCGCTATTGGAACCTTTGAATTAAGTTGGTTTCTTAGCTCTTCTGCAGAGACTTCACCACGAGGCTGAATGACTAAACTTGGTTTCTTTGGTCGCCGTAATACGTCCGCAAAGGATTTGGGCATGTGCTCTGGTGGCAGATTGTTTGTGGTAGCTGTTCCAGACGTCGGATAAAGTACAAAATCTGTATTTACAGCTGCTTCAACTGATGGTGGCGATGTTCTATATGCGGGGCCTTGCAAAGCGAGGGTCTGAAGAGCAGCAAGAGCCTTAACTATATGCTCACGATCTTCCGTTGGTAGAAGAAACTTATTCCTCTTTTTTGATGTTACAATATTTGTGCACTCTTTAAAGATTAAAAAATGCACTTTCTCCTCATGGGTGGTTGAATTTGACGAAATAAGTGTTGCCAAGTCTAGGCAACTTTCAGATCTTTGCAGTGCATGTATCTTTCATTTTTCATCAGATAAAACTAGCTGATCAGTAGGTGAGTCAGTACGCACAACTTGCAGTGTGTAAGATGAAAATGGTTGAAAATTATAATAATAGAGTCAAGTAACTGCAGAGTTAAGATTTTCTGTCCTGCGAGAATAATTCCGAAGTCTTAAAAATAAATTAACTAAAAGGGGCCACGATTAAGGGGGTCAGAGGAAATGAAATTAATTTGGTGGAAAGAATTACTAAAAGAAAGTTTGTTTGGAGGCTCTACATTAATTAGAAGAGAAGAACAGGATAATTTAAACCACGGTAAATATGAGGGTGAAAAGAAGGGGAGTCAGAGAGAGTTGAGTGTGATGTCAGAAGAAAGTTTAAATTGAAAGAAGGGAAAGGGAGTTTGTTGGAAGGCTTATAGTTCGGAAAAAAGAGACTAGCGGAAAAAAAATTAAAAAGGGGTTAGCTGACGGAGGTTATTTGGAGTCGAGAGTGGGGTCAGATGAAAGATATTATAAGGCGATAGATGGAGGTTTCTAGATTGCTCTAGGTTAATAAGAAGAGGAGATATGAGAGAAATAAAAATGAATTATAAGGTGATGCAAAATACGAGGTGTTTGAAGGAGATGGGATGAGTGATAGAAAAAAGGGAGAATTAAATAAAATTGGATGGAGTTTATTAAGAAACTCTAGGTTGATATAAAGGCAAGCTATCAGAAAAATAAATTGTATTAAAGGCTGTTAAAAGTGATTAAAAGGGGGGAGATCAGAGGCTTGAATTAGTGTTAACAATATGTTGGCTGTCTACGGACAGAAAAAAAAACTAATGGGAAGTCTGAAAAATGTGGTTAGTGGGCGCCGAAACTGATAGAGAGAAATAAGAAATTAAGTGAAAATAAATCTAATGAAAACAAATTAAAATGCTTAAAGCGTAGAAACAATTAGTGACGGGATGCTGAAGTTTAATAGAATAGAAGATGAAGAAGATCAATTAAGGTGCTTGCGTATAGTATAATGTATGGAGACTTTTTTTCTTTTATAAGATTTGTAATATATATAATAAAAATAATGAAAATAAAATAAATATGAAGAATATAAAAAAGTCAAATATTAAAAAACTTTAAAAAAATTAAGAACTTTTTTGGAAGGAATTTTTTTTAATTTAAATTAAAAAAAGCAAAAAAAAATAAATAAGGGCTTAGGGTAATTTTGCTAAAATTAGTTTTTAAGCACTAACTTAGAAAATATCTTCCATGTCGTAAGATGGGACATCAAAATTTTTCTCACAACGAAAAATACAATAGCATATATGCATAAAAAACATAGTTATGTTCAATAATATATAAAAATACTGACATCATAGTACCAGTTATGTGGAAGTAACACACAGAGAGAATGAATAAAAAATATTAATAGGTAATTACATTATTTCACATAATGGTTTAAAACCTACACATACAGCATGCGATATATATATATATAAATGCAGATATATATATTTATATAGCTAATACGCTACTGTAATAGAAAATAGAAAGGTTAACACTGTTTGCAGAAAGTCTAACTGCCGAAATATAAAAACAGTTCTTGCGTGGTACTTAGTTACTTAGAAAGACTTGCAGGTTAACGCTGTAACGCTAGCGCATGCTTGAATCGGGAAGAAGTTCAAGGTCTGTAAAAGAGGGGAGCCACAGCCAACTGGAGAATTCTTGATTCCCGAAGGTCACGGACAACCCCTGCTCCGGTACTTAAGTGGGGAGGGGAGGCAAGGACCGACGCTACGGAATTAGGCCAGGGGGAAACATGAAGTTTAAGAAGAAGGAATGAATGAAAAACTTAATAAATCTGAGGCTATTGACTCTACTGTCAAGTATAGTACATCAAACTAAAGGAAATTCAAAGGCCTACCTTTGCAGATGAGAATGAAGCCGATATTCTTGAAAGTACCGAAGTCATTGAAGAATCAATCCAGGAAAATGGCGCAAAAGTAGCTTTTACAAAAAAACACTATTAGTACACTATCACAAAACACACTTACATAAAACTTGCATTGGAAGAGGCCGAAAAACACGTTTAAGTGAACATTTTGATTTTCTTTTTTAATTTAATGGCGGGCACTTGTCTGTTCGACACTGGCCACTCCCCTAAGGTCAAAAGTGGTGGATATTTTATTGTGGAGGCACCTAAGGCGGCTACATTTGCCTCCTATGAAGGGGACGGCCAGTTACAACTATACCTTCTCCAAGATTCGAACCCTGGCCCTTCAGTATCGCAGTCGGTTCCCATAATCACTATACTGTCTGGGCAACCCTTTTCAAATTGTGTCTGTTGATACTGTTGGTGGCTTAAACAAAGGTGTCGTTTGGAATTTTTCGATGGCGAGCAGTTTTAGAGTTCTTTAATTATAGTCGGGACAAAATACCTTCCTTGATTGGAAAGTAATTAAACAGGCACTCCAAACCTAGAAATCCAATGGTGTATAATTACCTGTGTTACCGTAACAGCCTTTTGATCTGAGACATGATACGCTTCAGGCCACTTTATAAAGTAATCAATGACAACGAAGATATATTTTTTGCTATCAGCAGAACGTGGCAGAGGTCCCACATTGTCGAAGGCTATGCGTTCAAAAGGCCCTCCTACATTGTAACGTTGCAGCTTCCCTCGGGTCCGTTTCTTCGGTCTTTTCTGGCCCGCACAAGCATCGTTAGATTGGCACCAATGTTGCATACGTTAGTCTTTGCAATACTTACATCTAAGGAAGTAATAGTGCTCCGGGCATTTGCAAGAATACAAATCGCATCAAATTTTTAACTCTGATGAGACTGGTCTTTGTTGTCAAGTCCTACTTCAGCACATTTTTATGTTTAAAAATGAGCCGTCTGCTGGCTGTAAAAAAAAATAAATAACGTTTACTGTGTTATCTGCGTTTAATGACAAGCAATATGTTTAGTGATTTTCTTACGAAGTGGAATAAAAAAACTTCAGAAAGAAAATGTGACGCTCATGTTAGATAACTGCGCTGCCCATCTAACTGATCTGTCGTTGAAGAACATAAAATTAGTTTTCCTTCCTCCTGATACAATAATAAAAATGCTTGGATGACAAGAAATATGTTTAGTTATTTTTCTTACGAAGTGGGATAATGGTTAGTTACTGCAAAGCACACGAGGGCTATCTGCCTAAGGAGAGGGATGCCTTTGTGGATAACTTTCTAAGGGAAACTAGCTCGTATATAAGTTAAACATGGCGAAATCCTTGAAAATGCCCATGCAGCCAGCCCGTTTGCGGGGATTCGAACCCCGTCCGAACTACCAGTGTTCAGCGGCTTTACCGCTCATCCGCTAGTGGGCCTCCGAAGCGAAATAAAGAGTTCAGCAAGAAGAAGCGTTAGATAACTGCAAGCGTTAGATAACTTGTTAGATAACTGCAATGCCCATCCAACTGATCTCTCGTTGAAGAATACAAAATTAGCTTTTCTTTCTCCTAATACAACCTCCATTCTTCAGCCACTAGATCAGGGTGTTATAAAAGCATTGAACAGGAAATAAGTGGTTCAAAATATCATTAATGAAATTGATACGACTGA